AAATTCATGTCAGAATGTCGTGCTACTCAACCAAACCAAATACAGGGGTCGATTCTGGGGAAAGATAAATATAAGGCAAATGAAAATTTGTTAATAAGGAGATACAATTTGAAAGAATAGCTTCCTATTACAAACTTGAATAGAGAAAGCTAAAAAATTTGTGATGAATGTTTCACAAAACATGTCATCACACATACTCAGTCGATGAACCTGACTCAAGTCCTATTCAATAATGACAATTATCAAGCGATTGGTCACCAATTGTGAAGACCTTTTTCCTGACGCCAGTGAGTTTAATCAGTGAATCGATCTGTGTCCAAAATTATTTCGGCGCACCTGCGTGTTATGGCAACTGAGATGGTCGTTCATGTGGACAGAAAAAATTCAACACAAACTAAAAATCCTATTCATTGACAATCACGTGGCAACGAAAATCATGTTAAACAATAAATAGATACATCGATGGACTAGACACTTACAATTTTCCTGATCAACAGTGTGGAATATCGATAGCTAGTGCGGCGGTTTGCGTAGATAATACAAATTGCCTTATTAAGATGTAGGTGTGCAAAGGTCGCATCACGATTAGGGAGGGATACCCCTGTTAAAAATCGGTCACATTCATGCTGTTCAATTGTGTCCAAAAACATGTTTGAGAAGAGAATCGTAATTGGTAACCAGCTGACCCNGACCCATGATTATAATCGGTGAGTGGGACTTCAATCAAGCACAAAGATCAACCATACGCGACGACTAGTCTAAGGAGATATGGTAGAGCTTATCGGATGTGGTTTTAGCAAGAAAGAATCACGTGGTTGGTGATGATCAAATAAGCTCACGCGCTAGCCACCTGACAGATTGCCCGGGGGGTTGGAATCTTTATCCCAACCTGGATCTGGAATTGCGATCGGTATGGTCCATATGCTGTTCAGTTACCATTGGCTTACATCTTTTTTGTGATGATTCTGCCTCCCTCGGACCAGAATTTACCCTCCTCATAAATCAGGGGATCATGTATTTTATTTAGCAGTGGACAATCTATCGAGATGCACTACATCAACTGGCAATAGAAACAGCAACCGACAGTTTACGCTGATCTATTCTTAAGAAAACTCATTGCAAAAGCCGATTTGCCAGAGAAGAGACAATTGCATAACGTTCCCACCGGTGAAAATCACTTGACGCAAAATTTATTCTTTCTTGTAAGACCCCAAATACAACATCTGTAGCTTTCTTGAATTGATTTTGGAGCCGTGTTGTTGATTTAATTTAGATACAGTGAATAAAAGGCATTGAACAGACTAACAAAATCGGCATGCTGTTTACTTTTAGTTTTTACAACAAATAACCATACACACTCGTGTACCGCATTTGGATAAAAGAGCAGAAGGAATATTGTAATGTTGAGAGCAGAGTTAAAGAGAAGATCGCGAATTCTTATACACTGGGGTTGCAAGAATAATGAGCGCCACTGAACCACATCACTCAGTGTCCGACTGTGATGAGGCTATACTGTCGACCCTCACAGACTACGGCCTCAAAATTGGTCATCGAGATCACTCGTGGGCAAAGCAAAAGCGCACACAGCACACGCGCGATGCAGTCAATGACCTAATTCACGACTGAAGACATCTAAGAGCTAAAGAAACCGGGGGGGGGGTGTCTCGAACCTCGGTTAAATAGCTTTGCGATGTTCAGTATGTGATGAGGAGGTAAACCTTTGAAAGAAGTCGGAGAATTTACTCTGCACGAGAGACTAATGATGCTTGAAGCATTTTATCGGTTGATTTTTCGAGCCGGTGAATTCGTCAGGAAAATACAGTGTATTTAAGCTTCTAAGCTTCTGGGATCCATCGCCATCTACATACACAGACACGCCGAGCGATCTTAGACATATTTCAGTAGAACAGTAAATCAATTAAAAATCGAAATAAGAAACGAGTGCTGGTTGACAAACTGATCAATAGTTTCATTGGTAGTAAGAATCACTAGTCCAAGCGACGGCGAGCGAATGAATGAAGATTTGGGAGTGATTAGACACTTACACGATCGGCATAGGCATATGTAAGTGTTTCACCCAGGCGTTTACTTTCATCGTAACAAGCCCGTGGACCGATTGGATTGACTCGACCCCAGTAGGTCTCGGGTTGAGGATGAACTTCAGGATCTGAAAAGTGAATGTTGGCGACAAACTTTACTATCATTTCACATAGAAATGCAAGTAGGTGAAAAAATCAGCACTTTTGTGTACATCGATACGTAGCAGAGCAGCGATCATAATTCATCTGCAGTCGAGTTATACCAACTTACATTATCTTAAGTAAACGGATTTTTAATTCAGGGATGAGTTTTGGAGATAAAAAACATGAAAAGCGGTAATAAACGACACAGCGATGAAAAAGATCAAACTTGTAGCGAATAGATGCGCGAAAGCAGATGCTAACATGCGGAAAATAACGATACAAGGTAAAGTCAAACCTCGTATAACGCACGATCAATTGGCCCACTTCATTAAGACTATTATGTGAAACCATGAACCTTATTCGCGAAGTTTATCGGGATAGAGCTGAGTACACTGGAAACCGCGGTAGTACCAATCTGTTGAGAACTATCAATCCAGCGATCGTTCAGCAACGATCAACCCATCGAGTACGTAGAACCGTCCAAATAATTGCGGTTTACTTTACTTCTGAATAGTTAAGGGAAGTAGTGCTACGGAGAAATTCCCTGTAGTCACGATGGAAACTGTGAACCCCAGCGAAATCAGCCAGTGTACTAAGGTTAGTGTTTACCGTACAACTGTCCGCCCTGCCCCGATTTACGGATGCGCTACCTGACCTACGCGAGTCAAGGTTACCAAGAGGTTAGAAATGTTCATCAAGTAGTACCTACGCCGAATCCTCAAAATTTACGAGTAGAAGAAGGACAAAGTTAACCCTGGTTTTCGTTATAGTTTCTGGCACCTTATCTGATTATGGAATGATAAAAAGGTTAGGACAGTATCACTAAGTGCGAAACACATCAGTCCTAGTGTTCGAATAATACCCATAGATAAGTTTCCTGTCCCATTCTGCTCGGGAGAGCAGAGCTGTGTGCTACCGAGCGCGTCCCCAGGTCGCGGATAGGGGAACAGCCGTCATCTCGCGGCTAACCGTGAATAAGGTGGGCTCCGGGCTACCGAATAAGCGGTCGCGAACGATCAGCGGCAACGCTCGAGGATGTGGTGGGTTTACCCCTGACAAGGGTTCTCCGCATAAAACACGATAGATATATGTGGACAGCGCACCTAAGAACTGTAGCCCAGATACAGTCAAAGAAACTTTCAACCAAAAGCTACACGACCCCTTGCGTAAGACAAATCGGGCCGACATCGTGATTTTAGCAAGAGATATGAATGCTAGAGTAGGCCGGTTGACTCTGAGTGAGGCGCATCTGGGTGGTCCTTTCGGACTAGATTCCTGTCGCTCGGAAAACGGGGAACGGCGGTTGGCTCTCTGTTCCGACCTGTTCCTCGCCAGCACGAATTTCAGACGCTCCAACTGCCGTTACGCCACTTGGCGTCCACCCTCGTCGAGTCAGCGACTAACGCACATAGACCACATCGCTATAAGCTACAAATGGCGGGGTTGCATTCAAGACTGCCGATCGTACTGGAGTACTTCCCTCAAATGCGATCACGCATTAATATCCACCAAGTTGTCCATTTGCTTCGGTAGGTGTCCTAAAAGTACGACACAAAGGCGGTTAGATAGTGATAAGCTGTCAAAACCAGCTTGTCCAACTGTCTTCCAAGACGCGTTAGAACCAACCCCACCCGATAATGTTAACCAGCACTGATTGCTTATCAAGAATGCTGTGCATTCTGCTGGCTTCGATAGTTATGGTCTGACACATCGCGCCGTGACATCCTGGATTTCTGAGGAGTCTCTACGCCTTCTTGACGCACGTCGGTCAATTCCGAC